AAAATATGCCAAGGTGGGAACGAGACCATTGAATACAGTGGGATTTATATTTTTGAGCGTTTTTTAGAGCTTTCGTCGAGCGTAGAATGCGCTACAAAAAGTTCAGGTGTGAACGAGGGCTAAAAGGTACAAAATGTTTTTTACAACTTTTGTTTTACATGTGATGTGTGACTAGGAACACTTAATCATGGTGAGGGTTTTCTCAAATGTGTCTGCAAAAGTGGAAATGTGCTTTTTAAATGTAATGACAGCAGTTGGTGAACACAATTCAGTGCACAGGCCTTCCAGGTTTGCAGAAAATTGAATGGCACCACATGGTTCCTGTAAGGTAGTATGAGAATTGCTTGTGCAGCCAGGTTGGCATGGAATGTTCTGTGAAAAGGAGGATTTTAGATTCTGTTAATTTTTATGAAAACTATGCTTGTGAAACCAGTCCTAACTTCTTGCAATTACATCACAGTTCTAAATAAAGTGCAGCATGGCAACTGTGATATTTGTCGACCAAGAAAATGGAGACTTTGCTTCTACCACCCTGTTCAAGGATCTTGAACAAGCTAACTCTGGTGAGTAGTCTGATGGCCTATGACTTCGGATTGTCAAAGTAATGCACACTGGGATTGCTTGTCAGCAGATAATTGCTGGGAAATCTCATTTGTAATCTCATGAGATCTCAAAGAAAGGTATTTTCCTCCCCTGAGATGATGTGCATTGTCACATGTGCAAGGAAGTAAGAGCTAGTAATCTGCCCTGCATGGCCACTGCCAGAATATTGGGGAAGCAAAGAGAAATCGGGTATGCTCATTGTGTACCTGACATGTCTGTTAATGAATGGAAAAGAAAATGGGGACGTCTTTGTACTCCATTTATTGAAGGAAACAGCACCTGCTCTGTTTGCTTATGTGTGATGCTTGCTACCAAGTAATTTGTGTCGTCACTGGCTCGATTGTGAGGGGAAACTGGCTTCCCAGCAAATCAGCATCGAGCGGAGGCCAGTGAGCATTTATAACCGATTCCATCGGCTTCATGCTGATTGGCCAGGAAGCTGGCTCCATGTTCCCCTACAGCACTGCCGGTCAGAGAAAATCTCCCTCAGACCAGAAGTTCCGGTATCGGGAAAGGTATTTGTACAAGTAACCCCACCCCAAATACTTGGTATTGGCACCGATACTGGTATCAGTGCATCCCTAGTAATAACAGACCCTGCCTTATATGCCACCCGAGGCTGTGGGGGCTTTGGGTGGGGTGCTGATGCTTTGTGGGATGGGTGTTAGAGCCGTGCTGTCGGTCCCACCCAGCTCACTGACATCACTGGTTGCCTGGAGCTCGGTGAAATGCCTGCCACAGTGTCACACTCGGCTCTAGCTGAAGATTGCCTGCCCCTGCTTAACAGTCCCTTTAGTAATCTGTAGCAGAAGGTCAAGTGCAGATTTTGTTTAACTTTTTTTTTTGTTTCATCCCCCACCCTCGTAAAGGAAAACACCTTTTCAAAAGTAATCTAGGAAAAGTGTTTGGCAGCTCTGGAACTGTGGTGAAGCCAAGAAAAGCTCTGGGAAATATCAACAAGCAAGTTGCCCAAACAGCTGCTCCATTCCAGAAAGGTGCCCTTAAACTGAAGACATCTGCACCAGTTACCAAGCAGGTACTATTGTCCTGTGAATCGCTGGACCAGTCCTATTGAGCCAAAATGTACTGGAGCCATTGTAAAGCTTGCCATATGCCCATAGATTTTCCATAGGTTTTTTTTGTTTTCCTGCTATCGGCCTATGGTCAGATAGAAAGTGCAACAGATTCCTCCATCTAAAATAAACTGTGTGGATGGAGGAATCTTGTGCTGGGCCAAGCTTCAGTATCTTGCTGGTCGATCCCACTGGCTGTTACATTACCTGAACAATCTGATTGGATGCAGGCATTGCTCAGGTATTGAGAGCCAGCAGGGCTGACTAGCATGATACTGAAGCTTGGCCCAGTGGGCGATTCCTCCATCCAGTTAATTGTAGATGGAGTAATCTGTTGCACAATTTTCATCTGACATAGGCTGATAGAAAAAAAAAAATCAATAGGTGTATAGCCAGCTTAAGGCTTGTTTGCCCTTAGATTTCCAGTCTGACACCAACAGTGTGGGCAGATCTCCAAACTGGGATCAACAACCATGGCAAGTCTATAACCTTTCCCACACTTTCTAAGTATTTTCCTGGAAATGTTCCTAAATGACTGAGGAATAGTGGGTGGCCAATTTGTGAGTTGAAAGTTTAGGCATAACCAAAATGTGCCGTTAGTCTTGAACTCCTCTCCCACCCACAATGCGACCAAATGTGCCTCAACATGTGGCACTGCATGTACTCCTACATTTTAACTACACTACAATGCACAGTATTGCAGTACTATACATTGCAGGTGAGAGGTGCATTTGGGCTGCCTTTCAAATAAATGGTAACATGCCTCCCGCACTGTTGATGCACAGTAGCTGCATTGTGCAGAACCATGCATTAATCACACAGAATGATGCAATTTAATGCACAAGCTTGAGAACAGGCCCTAAATGTTTTAAATTGTAGCTTGCGCAATACATGTTCTATTCTGAAAAGTTGTACTCTGTACTATATTTTGCTCTACAATATAGGGGAGACTGAGGCTACTGTCAACCTAATTGTCCCTGTCTGTACTGTGCTGCAAGATCTCATTGGTTATAAACTAGATGTGAACAGGTTAAAAAATTGTATGTTAACCAGTTGACATCCCGCGGTGTTAAAACCCCTTCCCATCCAGGCCATTTTTCAGTATTCAGCGCTGCGGTACTTTGACTGACATTTATTCCGTCATGCAACGCTGTACTGAAATTAATTTTATAAAAAATTTTTAGGGACAGATAGAGCTTTCTTTTGGTGGCATTTAATCAGCACTGGGGTTTTATTTTTTACTATAAGGAAAAATTACCGAAATGTAAAAAAACTATTCCCCCTATATTGAGAACATTTATTATTACCCAATTTTTTGGTAAAATATAAGACGGGTCACGTCGGGTAAAAAGCTTTAAAAGCTTTTACCGCTCATTAGTTTAGTGTTATCAGTGATTGATGGCCCTAAAATGACTGCTCTCACTGCGACGTTCGCGGCAATATATAACGTGTGTAGCGCAATTTTCGTTTTTGCGCGCTGGTGCACCGGACGCGTATTTATGTTTATATCTGCGTAAACGTGGGGGAGTTAAACATTTTGGGGTTTTTATTTATTTTTAGCACTTATTGTTATTGCTATTATATAGGGGGATAACAATCCCCCTATATAATAAAGGCACACTGACAGGTCCTCTTTATGGAGACATTAGGGGTCCCTAGAACCCCTAATTTCACCTGTGGACCCCAAAAGAGAGATCTACTTCTTTTCTCTGGCTATAGCAGCCAGATGACTGACAGGTGAATGCGGATGGGCGTAAAAACGAGCACATATAGACGATCCGCAGGCTATGGAGCCGCCGATCGTCTATGTGAAACACCCGGTAACGGGTGTTTGCATTGGTCTGGTCTTCTGCCCGTGCGTGCCTGCTAGGGAGCGTGTGAGCAGAAAAAAAATGCCGTCAGACGGCAACCCACCAATGCTGCAGTGCCGTCCGTCCGTTTTGTGTTTTTTTTACCATGGGCGGACGGCAAGTGGTTAAAGAACTATGGGGCAACCTTTTTTGCCCATCACTCTCTTCAGGGTCATGGGAGAGCATGTAATGTGTCCTCCGGTGACCCAAAACACAATATAGAGGGGCATATTGCCAGGTATATGCTGAGTGCAGCAGCCAGGACGTATCCTAAAAATACTGTAAAGTTCCACCCCAGTGGCTGACAGCAGAGCCAGTTGTGCCTGCCTCTCCCCATCCATTCCCCCAGTCAGTGCTAGAGAAATGGAGGGGGGTGGGAATCCCTGCAGTGACAGTCAGTCACCGCTCTCTGCAGGGAGATAATCGGGGAAGCCAGCAATTGGCAGTGTTTGCTGACTTCCCGATCAATAGAACCAACCTGTGACAGCATCTTTGTAACAGGTTGGCCTGAATTGGGGATGAGTTTTTCACTTGCTCCATAATTCTCCTTTTAATAAGGGAAAGCTGTCTGTCCCTGTCCTTTTCTATGGGGACAGTCAGTTGCCTGTCACTTGGAAATTGAGGTTTGCAAAGGCCTCATACAGATGCACCTAAAAGGTAGTAATTTTGGGATCTCTACATATGCTGTGAATAGGAACATAAACCTAGTGGAGTGTATGGGGGGGTTTTTGTTTAGTTTTTTCAAAATTTGACTGCAAAAGTGTAACTTCACTTTCCAAGGGCCAGACCTGCAAAAGTTGGGTATTGGAGCATAGCTAAACCAACAAGAATGTAATATATTGCAGGCTACCAGTCCTTGGTCTGAAACATGAAACTAAATGCAGCCACCATATCTAAGAACACTTTCAGTAAGATAAAATGGTGAGAAAATAACTATTCTTGGCAGAAATGTGTAATTGTCCCTTCCTGTGAGCTGAAATAAAAGCACGGACATTTTTTTTGTGTGAACCTGGTCCCATGAAACCAGCTTGTTTTTTTAGATAAACAAGGCACATGTTTGAAGTCCAGCCTGTGTGACTAACATGGTCATATGTACAAAATAGAAGTGCAGGCAAATGGACAGGAAGTATGTAATTTGCAGGATTACTAAGGGGAGAAAGGAAAACCCAGGGTAAATACCACTACATTTAAGCATTGGTAAGCTGCAATATAACTTTTGTTGGGGGTTTAGTTGTATTTAACAACCTTCCCACAGCCATACACATATGTAGCAGCAAGGTGGGTGGTTTTGAAACACTGGACTGCTGCCCAACAGGTCACAGTTTACAACTGGAAGTTAGGATCCTGATCATGTGACTGCTGACAAAGCCTGTCTGGTGGGAGCTGGTAGCTTGGGGTTAGGATCAGTCAAATGTGTAAATGACATAATAAAAAATACTCTGCATGCTAAACGGTTATTCTTGATCAATTTCAGATTTCTAAAGTCTGCATTAAGACTAGAAAACAGAGCTATCCTGAGATTGAGAAGTGTCTCCCTTACAATCCTGCAGGCAAGTGTTTGTTAATTTTATGTTCACTTTTTAGGTTTACCCCTTGATGGGTTTTTCTAAAGCTTGTGGTGTAACTTGTTTGAAGTTCTACCTTTGGCTTTGAGTTGGGCTGGACAGACTGGGACTGACGGATGACTTACTGTGGTGTGATTGTCTTTTGTCTAGGGAAGCTAGATGGTGTGTGATTTAAGTAATTTTGCAAATCCTGCCTTGCTCAGTAATGAGTAACAGGAGGTTCTTGGTATAGCAGTCATATCTTGTATTTTTAATTCCTAGATTTTGAAACCTTTGATGTCCCAGAAGAGCACAAGCTGAGCCACCTTGACCTTTCTGGAGTTCCCCTTATTGTGCATGAACACAAAGCTTCAAAGGTTGATGCTTGGTTGGCCCATGAGCCAGCTCCAATGGATATTCCAGTCATTAGCTGGGAGTCAGGTTGGTTTCTAACCGTAATAGGACTTCATACTCGTGCTCAATGTCCTGTGACCAGCTTTGCATAAGGGAACTAGAAATGCACATCAGGAGTGTTCTAGTTCAGAACATGTCAAGCTAACAATTGGCTAGACTTCTAGTCAAGTGATGCAACTAGCCTTGCTCTTGGCTAAATTACCAATCGCACGGTTTAAGTCTCCACAGTTTACAGTGCAGAGTCATAATGTTCATGGTTTTCCACGCCATACAGCCAGGTATTTGAAAGTGGGCTTCAGCCTAAGTGGGTTTTTTTTTATGATAAAAAAAACTCGTCTTTTAGTAGGTATATACTCACGCATGGTCAACTTGCACGTCCAAGACTTAACATTGCATATACACTATTGCAAAAAGTATTGGGACGTCTGCCTTTACGGAGACAGACACGTCCGTAGGGTTCAATATTGAGTTGGCCCACCCTTGGCAGCGATAATAGCTTCAACTCTTCTGGGAAGGCTGTCCACAAGGTTTAGGAGTGTCTATGGGAATGTTTGACCATTCTTCCAGAAGCACATTTGTGAGGTCAGGTACTGATATTGGGCAAGAAGGCCTGGCTCGCAGTTTCTTCTCTAATCCCAAAAGTGTTCTATCGGGTTGAGGTCAGGACTTTGTGCAGTAATGTTCCAACAGGAAGGGGCCATCCCCAAACAGTTCCCACAAAGTTGGGAGCATTACATTTGTACAAAATGTCTTGGTATGCTGGTCCCTTCCTTAACAGTTCCCTTCACTAGAACTAAGGTCATTGCACTTGGTAATGTAAGGCTTGGATGCAGCTGCTCAGTCATGGAAAGACATTCCAGGAAGCTCTACGCACTGTCGTGCCAATCTGAAGGCCACATGAGGTTTGGAGGTCTGTATCTATGGACTCTGCAGACAGTTGGCAACTTCTGCACACTGTGCTTCAGCATGCGCTGACCGCTCTTGGTCATTTTACATGGCCTACCACTTTGTGGCTGAGTTGCTATTCGCAGTTGCTTCCACTTTGTTATAATACCACTAACAGTTGACCGTGGAATATTTAGTAGCAAGGAAATTTTGCAGATGGACTTGATGCACAGGTGGCAACCTAACATGGTACCATGCTTGAATTCACTGAGCGACCCATTGAATGTGTTTTTGTAGAAGCAGTCTGCATGCCTAGGTGCTTGCTTTTATACAGCTGTGGCCATGGAGGTGATTGGAACACCTGAATCCAATGATTTGGAGGGGTATCCCAATATGTTTGGCAATATATACTGTATCTGAGGTTGTCTGCAGGGCAGCAGTGAAGATCCCTAAACTAGCCAAGGTAAGTTAGATGGGGTCAGAAGCACCGAGGGGTGGTTAAAGGCTGTGGATGACCATTTGTACTAAGTACAGTTCTACTTTTATCTAATCTCCTCCTGGTGGTAATGCTCTTGCTCTGAACTTTGTATCAAAATAAACTTTATTTTCCCCCCAGATATTTCAAGCGCACTTGCATCTTTCCTGGCAGCCCTTGATGATTTTGCACTTGACCTGCCCCAGATGGTGAACTGTTGACATGGGTTTTAATTGTTCCTTATTCTTTATGGCTTTTAATTTGTATGTACATAATTTTAAATAAATGTTGACATTATAATCTAGAATGGCCTCTGTGTGAACATTTTAATGGTTGGGGTGCTTGCAGCTCTGCTTTTGACTCTGCCCCATGACAGTGGTTATGACTGCCTGACACTTTTGACTCTGCATAGGACTGACACTACTTAAGACCATTTTATGACTTGGCTGGCACTGCCTGTGAATCTGCCTAAAACACTGGCTCTGGCATGGACTCTGCCTATGACCTGTCAATAACACTGACTATTTCTGGAAGTAGAACCATTTCTATAACCTATGACAATGTGACTGTCTAAGATAATTAATTCCCTGTCTATAGCACAATGACCCTGCATCATAGCCAGTGATATTTAAAGGCAGGCTGTTCGCTTTGCAAGGAGGTCCCCCTTTGCATAGTGACGCTTTAGCACATGCGCCAAGACTAAAGAAATAGTTCAGGACCATTCAGACAACTGGTTAATAGCTATGAGGCAACTGTATGCTGGCTTGAGCTTTGAGGACCCTCCTAAAATACCCCCAGTTATCAGCCACTGCCAGGTGATGAGACTCAATGAAAACATGATGCAGATGCCTTTTTTTTTTTTTTCCTTCTACTTATCAATATCTGGCTTGGCCACAGCAGCTACCTCCCAGCTTACACATAGGGGGGTGGCAACCCAACCAAACCACTTCAGGGACCAACCTGTAATGTCACTTCAGGCCCTCGATACTTTGGGCTAGACATGTGCAATTCATTTTGGGAAAGATTTGTTTGGGTATATCAGACCCTCCAAATGACTGAAATAACAAATGCAAACAAATCTGAATTTCGAATAACTAATTTCAGCTGAGATTAGTGAGTGGTGGTATATGCAAATTTATGTTGTGGCAAAGTGACATTTTACAAAGTGTGCCCAAGGGCCTCTACAACCCCCCCCGGGGGTTATTTGCATTGGGATGGCACCCAGACACTGCCCCTTTGTAAACTAATAAAGGGTACTTAACCACTGAAAGGATAAAACAAAATGTAGAACACCACTTTCAGAAAAAAATGGCTCATGTAATCCAGGGTCAATCGCACTGCACGACACCTGGCAACAAGTCCTGCCACAAGATCACCAGTCCAAACTCGAAGGCTTGCTGCAAAATGCCATATCTGGCCAGACTGTAAATAGATGGGTGGAGCAAGCCATGACATCACAGGGATTCCACCTGTTACTGACTGCTATTGTGTTATGACACCTGAGAATCAGGTCTGAGTTGAGGTGTCGTATAAATAGTATGTTGGGTCCAGAGTCTTCATGCAATTGCCGGGAGCCTATGACCCACAAACTCCTTGTGAGCTTCTCTAAGGGTCTTGGTTCTGATGGCAACTTCCCTCAAGGTGGTCCTATTCCAGACTACTACAACTGAGCATTCTGACAGCATGGGGAAAAGTGAGCTCTTTCTCTAACTGCCCCATACATCATTAGCTAGGGGAGGATAGTGCTAGCTTGGTGATCTTCCAATTGGTAGATTTCCACTACATTAGACAGTGCTGAACGGTGCCAGCCTCTTGGTCTGGGGAGGTGTCCTCAGGACCTCAACAGCACAATGAACCTGATCAGTAAAGGAATCCAGACAGTCCAATGTTCAGATGTTGATCCTTGATCGTTGCGCGGACCATCGGCTTGGTCTTCTGGACGGAGCTCCGCCCACCAGCCAATGAGAAAGGCCACGCTCCTGGGAGGGCGGAGTTTAACTTCACAAGCCGACGGAGACATCGTCCTGCCAGCTCCCGCCTGCAAGAAGACACGGCCAGCACAGTAATGGAGAGGCAGCCTGGAGAGCAGGTGAGAGCCCTAGTTTAACCAGGGCTCTGTGGGATCTCCCCAAGGCCCTGTGGGGAATAACAAGGCTGGTGAGACCCCACAGGGGCCTGCTACCCTGGTGAGACACCTAGTGAAATTCTACAGAGCCCTGGTTTAACCAGGGCTCTGAGGGGTCTAACCAGGCTGGTGAGACCCCCACATAGCCATGGTGAGACACCTTGGAGGCCTGGTGAGACACCTTGGAGCCCTGGTGCTGGCGAGACCCCATGGAGCTCTGGTGAGACCCTACAGAGCCTTGGTTTAACTCTCTCCTTGTGGGTCTACCAAGGCTGGTTAGAACCCACAGTGCCCTGGTGAGGCCCCCTCAGAGCCCTGCTACACTGGTGAGGCTCCCTCAGAGCCCTGGTTTAACCAGGGCCCTGAGGGGTCTAACCAGGCTTGTGAGACCGCACATAGCCATGCTGAGATCCCACAGAGCCCTGGTGAGACCCTACGGAGCCCTGGTGCTGGTGAGACCCCCATCTCACCCTGGTGAGATCAGACACTGTGGGGTCTCACCAGCGCTCTGAGGGGTCTTACTAGGGTGGTAAGACCCCACATAGCCCACACGAAACCCTACGGAGCCTAGGCAAGATCCTGTGGTGAGACCCTGCGGAGCCCTGGTGCTGGTGAGACCCCCCATCTCGCCCTGGTGAGATCAGACACTGTGGGGTCTCACCAGTGCTCTGAGAGGTCTTACCAGGGTGGTGAGACCCCACAGAGCCCTGGGGAGACCCCACAGGCCTGAGTGGGGCCTCATGTTTAGGTTTCGCCTAAGTCCTCGCAAACTCTAGAGCCGCCTCTGGTCATTACACCTCTTTTATAGTTCTCTACCACTGGCTTTATTTTTCTTCTGCTGACCATGCTGGTAATCTGTTCCCCGGACTCTTCCATGCCAAGTTTTAATGTTGCAAGGTTGGAGATTTTTCTGTGTCTTGGTTTATTGGCCATGTAATCGCTATGCCTCATACCATATGGCTTTCTCCCGCACTCTGGTTTACCTGTCCCCATACGGGGGGTGAGATGACGTGTGTACTAGCCTTCTTAGCATACAGTCCCTGCTAGCATAACGTGTTTGCTCCCCACTTTGACTGAATTCCCCAAGTGGGCCACATCCCGCGCTAACACTGCACACCCCGCGCTAACACTGCACACCCCGCGCTAACACTGCACACCCCGCGCTAACACTGCACACCCCGCGCTAACACTGCACACCCCGCGCTAACACTGCACACCCCGCGCTAACACTGCACACCCCGCGCTAACACTGCACACCCCGCGCTAACACTGCACACCCCGCGCTAACACTCTCTTTTAGATCTGACAACTACTAAGAGCAAGGCTCCGCTGGATTGGATCTAATTTGATTGAATACATTAGGTAGGTCCTCATATTAGAGGGGAGGGCCACTCCAGCTATTATGGAACTACAAGTTACATGAGGCATTGCAATACTCACAGTTGCAGGTATGACTCCCAGAGGCATGATGGGATTTGTAGTTGAAGCACAGTTGGAGGGCAGGAGTTTTCTACCTCTGACACACTACATAGTTTTGGTAAATCTAATGTTGGATTGTACAGTCACATTGTAATGCCAAGTAATGCACTTCCAAGTAATGTAATTCCAAGTAATGCACTTTGGAATTAAAAATAAACAAATGGGTTATACAATTATGGGTATGCCGCTAGGGAAGTCAGAAATGGAGAAGGATTTGGGGGTCATTGTAGACCACAAACTGAAAGGTAGTTTGCAGTGCCAGGCTGCTGTAAACAAAGCTAGCAGGGTCTTGTCCTGTATTAAAAAGGGGATGTATTGCAGGGACAAGTCTATAATTTTGCCACTTTATAGATCATTGGTTCGACCTCATCTGGAGTACGCGGTCCAGTCACCAGTACTAAGAAAAGATGTCCTTGAGTTGGGAAAAGTCCAGCGGAGGGCAACCAAACTAATTAGGGGTATGGAGGACCAGAGCTACGAGACAAGGCTACTAAATTTAAACATGTTCACATTGGAGGTGAGGAGATTAAGGGGGGATATGATTTCCATGTACAAAATGTTCAATGGTGGCAGCAACATTAGCGATAAACTGTTTAAAATTAACTCCATTACAAAAACTAGAGGCCACCACCTAAAATTGGTGGAAAAAAAATTCCAGCACAAGGGGCGAAGGGGGTTCTTCACAGTAAGATCAGTTAGGGTCTGGAACTCACTGCCACAGACAGTGATTTCAGCAAAGAATCTGGAATTGTTCAAGAAACTTTTGGACGATTTCTTAAGGGACCGTAATACACAGGGGTACAGGTAATATACAGGGGTACAGGTACTCCTAGAATGAGATCCTAATAGGTTGGACTTGATGGACTAATGTCTTTATTCAACCTCAAATACTATGTAACTATGTAACTATGTAACTATGTATCGTATATGTTGAGCCAGAGGCATCCAGGTGACACCATTGGAGGGGTGACACCAAAATGACTGACAGTCATTTTGGTGTCACCCCCACTGAAAAGTTGGGTACTCAGTCTTGGACTGAGAGCCCCACATTTGCTTGAGAGAGAAGAGGGGACCCGTCGGCATTCCTTATCCCGCCAGGTGAACGTCCTCTCCACCTCTCACAAGATGGCCACCGACGGGTAACGGCGCATTACATCATCACGGACTTGCGAGATGACATCCCATGTGTGCAATGACGTCATGTCGGGATGTCACCCGGTACCCAGTCCGGCTGGCACCCCGCCTCGGGACACCCCTGCCCAGAGGCCCCAGTCTGATTTGAACAGCTCTTTGGGAGATCTCACCTTTACAGTTTGACACTCTGTTCTCCAAGCAGTAAAATAAAGATGAAGGGAAGCCTGCTCCAGGGTCTGGAAGATGTCGGACGTACGATTCCGGGTGGAGAGGAGATCTGACTGGTCCTGGACTCTGCTGGCGATCAAGGAGAAGACGTCATTGTGGAAAGCAACGTGCAGGTCGGGCGCTTCCAGGATACTTCGCCTCACCTTGTCAATCAACTTGGCGTTTGTGCATGAAGCTGCATCACCCAGAGGAAAGCTACTGCAGTCAGCTCTTGTACTGAGCCATGATGGAGTCCATACTCTAGGAAAGACAATG